TCCGATCTTCCTCTTCTCTCCTGATGTTTTCATCTGTCCCTCCAGCGGTGCGGCAGCTCTCCGATCCAGCGCTGACTCCTCTGTCCTTGCTGGCACTGACGATGCCACGGTGTCTGCATGCGGGTGCACGCGTCCAAAGACTTACCTTGCATCTCTGCCCGAACTGCACATGCGCCCGCCTCAGGATGCTTTGTGGCTGCCCAAACAGTTTTGGATTCTCGGACAGGAGCGCACAGCGAAAACGGGGTAAGTTTAAACCGCTGTTAAAGCGTTTTTGTTTTTTAACTTTTTGCATATATCTACTGCTTGTTTAGAAACCCTTTAATTTAAAATAAAATACACAAATGCAGTGTTACAAAGTTTACTTCAGAATAAACCTGCAAGCGTAATTTTTTAGAAATCGCACTGCACTGGAACGCACAGCATTGTGGTACCTTGCATTCCACTGCGGGCAATTACACTGTGGGTGGGAGGCGCATTTGGGGTGCCACTGAAATGAATGGCACTGCAACGCACCTCCCGCAGCAGAATTAGTCAGGCCGAAAATGACCTTTTCCCACCTTTTATATAAATATATATTTTTTTAAATAATTGTATTGTAAGCATATGGCTCTTGAGTAGCTTTAGCCAGGGAATGACAGCTGCCAGTGGCAAGATTCCACAGACAGCAGCTGAATGTAAATTCAGCAGGTAGTGGGCTGGTGCAATAGCCAGCCTGCGATTGGCCATTTAAAATTGCAATAGCATCCTGGCTATTGCACCCGCCCATTGCTTGCTGTGCTCTCCTCCCAGCGTGGAGGAGAGAGCTAGGGGATCCAACCAACTAATCAATAATGAGAATAGTTGACAACTATTCTCATTATCGATTAATCGATTAGTTGGTTGCAACCCTACTTTACTGGGTCTCTGAGTGGACTCATCAGAAAAAAAAAGGTTGAGGGGGGAAACTCTGGAATTCCAGACGACAGCCCTCCTTTATCAGTTGCAGAATGTATAGCCTGTTAGTGATCTTCCATTGATCGTAAAATTCAGAAAGACTTAGACCTGCTACATAATACGTTTTTCTTTTCTTTTTTGGGAGCTTCTTCCCCCTTTTCCACATACTGTATCTGGAAAGAATTGCACCCAGGCCTGGCCCAAAAAGTATGTTCCCTTCAAAGGGGATGCCGCAGTAGAGCTGCAGCTAACGATTATTTTCAAAATCGATTAGTTAGCCGATTATTAAGTTCGGTTAATCGGATAATAAATAAAAAACATTTTAAAAAATGGCTCCAGTGATGGGACTATTAGTTTGTATTTGAGTCTAGGATTTAAGCCAAAGTGTCTTCCAAGCGGAATAAATCATAGTAGCTGTTCTAACAGAAGCTTTAATGCCTGGTTCACACCTAGGCTCCACCGTAAGCGTGTGAGCAGTATGCGGTTTTTGCAGCTCATGAACCATTGTGGGGAATGGAAGAATGCACATTTAACCCTTTCCCTGCCACCACCGTAAGGCATACGGCGGAACAAAAGTGTTCCCAGCTGGCCAGGTCAGTATGCCTTACGGCGGTGGCATTTACAGTTCTGCTATAAGCTCAAGCTTTAGGGACCATGAACTTATAGCAGAACTGGTCCCTGGACGGTCCCCTTTAAATTAATAGCGGTCATCAGCAGCTCACAAGCCGCTGATGACCGCTATTAGCAAAAATTCTGGGCGCC